CTCGAGGATCGTAAGAGCTAGATACGCCAAGCTCGATAAGTTGTCGATAACATGGCATACACGGCATAAAGGATATTTCACTTTCACTTCAAAGTTGTGTGTCCTGTTTAGAGCCTGAGAATTTCATCAAAATCGAACCATAAATACCGAAGTTCAAAGTCGAAGCCAGAAAGCTTGTTAGTCCAGCTTGAAGCTGGGTTCAGATTATATTCGAGTTTAGTCTACTCTTTGGCATCCTGGTCCTGCCTTTGCTTTTTACCTAGGCCATAATTGAGCTGTTGTCAGCAAATATTTGTAGCCGATTACATGATGCTATGCCTATGCCTATGCTAATTTTAGGAAATATGTATGCTTAGATGATTATGCATAAGATTATGCGCATAACGCCTAATCCCTTTGAGCGGGACGCACAAATATTTTCATGTCTCATGTCAAAACAGTGAGAGAAAATAAAAAATCTATAAACCTAACCCCCCTTCTGCCCACGGATTTATGATGCCTGGCATTTGTGTCTTTTCGATTTTTCGATTTCTCATTTTTCGTTTTCTTCTTATTATGTTTTTTATGCAAATTCTTGACAAACGCGAGGGTTAACACTCGCAGTCAGTCAGCGTCAGTCAGCGTCAGTCAGCGTCAGTCAGTCCACGGGCAAGTCCATTAAGGTGTTACACGGCAACAATCTTTGTCGAGTAATTACAGGCTTGTTAGCTATGGTTGCAACAACATTTCGCTTTCTTTTCCCGGAGGGTGCGACGTGGGAAACTGTTTTTCCTGACACCCAACGTTTTTTTTTCTTTTCTTTTTTGTTTTTTATGCTTGTCCCAACGCATGTACATCACTTCTGAGTGTTTGGGCGAAAACAAAAGGATCATCGGCTCATCATCTGGCAGGCAAGAGCGTAATCGAAGTGAGAGCAAAAAAACCTAAAAGATCAGTTGTCAATCAAGGTCCCGTGCATGTTCATTTCCATATCGATCCCACAGAGCGGCCCCTCATATTGCCCGGCTAATTACTCAATTCGTCCCATTCGACAGCCCGTCCTCAACTATTTCATAAACAGAATAGAATAAAGAGCGCATCGCATAATTTGAATTTAATATACTTTTAATGGGCCAATTGGGAAGCTTACAGGAACTGGATGCGATCGAAAATGTTAGATTAAAAATGGGACATTAGTTTAAATAAACCGGATCCGGTGAAATGGCAATTGTCCGGTTACAGATCAGGCTAAAGGGAAAGCTGTTATTTAGTAGAGAAAATGGTATTCCTAAGTAAAAATCCAAAAATAAACTTAATTTAGTAAACAAATATAATTCAATTGAGAGTCTGGTTAACTTATGTGGGTTTCAGCAAGTTGCGTACTTAAAAACAAGTAAGAGGTTCTAGTCGGGAGCTCCCGACTAGGGGATACCCTGAACCCTCTTCTTCCAACATCAAATGCATATATATATTCTATTTTAGAAGCTATATGTCAAGTTTGGTGACTTCAGCTCTTATTATTGACAAAAATTGCCCAAAAAACAGGATATCGATATCGATTTTTATCGATTGCTTGGAAGCGGAGTAAGTTATCGATTATCGGAAACAAACTCGATCTGCGCGGAAGCTAGGAGCATCTACATCTAAAATTTCAAGTCTCTAGGTTCTCAGATCCTTGCGTTCATACATACGGACGGACGGACAGACAGACAGACGGACGGACAGACGTACGGACAGACAGACGGACATGGCTTGATCGACTCGGCTATTGATGCTGATCAAGAATATATATACTTTATGGGGTCGGAGCTGCTTCCTTCTGCCTGTTACATACATTTGGCTTTCGCACAAATACAATATACCCTTATACCCATTTTTAATGGGTTCAGGGTATAAAAGGGAAAGTTTTTCTAAATTAATTTGAATTTGTTTTTATGATTTAACTGAAGCTTCTTAATTTAATTTGAAGATATTTTCCACAAATCCTAATAGCTTCGACAAAACTTGTACAAACTATTTCGATCCGTTTCGAAAGTTTTGCTATAACAAATTTTATAAGAGTTCATGCCAGAATTCAATCCAAACATTGTTTAAATATTTATTAAATACTTCTATAAATATATGCATACACATTAGATAGATTGTTTGTATCTATATTTTTTAAAATTTTAACAAAATTTGTAACTAAATTAGTTCGATTGATTGCTCTGTAATAGACCTTAAATTTGGTATTCGATAAGCCGAGGGCCGAATACCACAATATGCTACCCCAAGCGACAGCAGTGCGATGCACTTAATTAGGCGATATCATTTAGAGAGGGAGATATGATTACATTCAGTACAGCTCGTAAGTGGCCATAAAATACAAATGAACTAACAAGTAAAGGTGCTCGAGTCGTTAATGACCGACTACAAGATACCCTGAACACGACGATCGCGCACGACATAGAAGCGCTTCACTCGGTGCTTATAGTCCGATCTTTATGAAATAAACTGGTCTTCAAATTGGCATTGAAATACGCATGCAAGCCTCTAGCTTAGCAATTTCAGGTTTTCCTCTTTTTGATGGAGCGGGCGAGGTTTTTAAAAAAAAACAAGTAAGAGGTTCTAGTCGGGAGCTCCCTGAACCCTCTTCTTCCAACATCAAATGCATATATATATTCTATTTTAGAAGCTATATGTCAAGTTTGGTGACTCTAGCTCTTATTATTTACAAACATGATATCGATATCGATTTTTATCGATTGCTTGGAAACGGAGTAAGTTATCGATTATCGGAAACAAACTCGATCTGCGCGGGCACTAGGAGCACTTAGCACCTAGCAACTATATTCATCGAGATATGTCTGATTGAAATGTATCTCAAAATCGATATTTATCGATATTATGAAAAAAGCGTGAGATATCGAGAAAAACTGAAAAGCTCGTGCTGCCATATATTTCATAATGCAAGCCTCTAGATCTAGCTAGATCTGCTCACAAATATGTACTTTATGGGATCGTACCTTCCGCCTTCCGTCTGTTACATGCCTTGCCACAAGTACATCAAGCCCGTTTGAGGGTATACAAAACAATCGATCGAAGCGCGTGCACCAAATGTGAAATAAAGAAATTAGAGTGTGGGATTTGGGGGGGGTGTAGTTTTTTTTAGAGTGTAGACAATTAAAATGTTTACCAATCGAAATGGTAGAGAAAATAATGTCGCAATATCAATAACAGCGGCAACCGGGGAGGATATTGAGGAGTGCGAGCGCGTCAGCTGGACAAAAACAGAAGATCGCCGTGTACAACAATTTAATGCAATTAGTGCGACAATGCGACAGACGGAACAGAGTGACATCTAAGTATATATGCCCTATAAAGCTGCCGATACAGATAGGACAGAGAGAGAGGGAGAGAGGGAGACTGACCAGATAGTGTATGCAGTTGGGGGTAATTACATAATTACATGGCGTACGATATGCAACGCGTGTCGAGGGTCGGCGCGTTGTGGGTGCAACAGCAACATGCCACATGCCTGTCACAGGCATTTGCAACACAACAGCGCTGCGATGGTCTATGTGTGTGTGTGCGTGTGTGTGTGCATTGGCAGAACTCGACTGTTGCCAATCTCACCTGGCTGATTAATGATATTAGGTAATCCCATTAGCCGGACCTTGGCCCCATGCAAAAAATCAACGCTGTCAAATGCAATCAACCGCAATAATCGCGCGAAAATGAAAATGGGAAAAACGCAACAACGAAAAAATAATACTATTGAAAACAAAAAACCAAAACAAAACATTAGCAGCTAATGCATTAGAGCCTTAACCACCCCAAGCTAATCAAGGCAGTTTTTCCCAGCCCAAGGCCATATCCCAGCTATATGCCAGTCATATCCCATATAATACGTATAATCGTAGACCCTATATGACGCTGACGATGTGTTAATTTCATTTGATTGACATGTGTCCATGCGGCTGTTCTGTTCTGTTTTAAGATCGAAAACCAAAAAAATAAAGAGGAAAAACTAACCTTACATAGGGAAATCAATTTTTGAGGCACGGCTCCCACGTGTGGACTGTCATGTTAGAATCTCGACACATCAACATTGTTGCCATGTTGCCCCCTATCCAAGCACACGATCTACACCCATCTCAGCTAAGCGCATCCCATCTGGTTCTGACGCTTGTTATTGTTGCGACAGTTTTTCAATTGTTTTGCCTTTGCTGTCGTGTCGCAAGTTGGGATGACACCAAAAACATTCATGTCCAACTGTCATATACATATAATATGATATAATGCCGGAGCATGTCCGAAACCGGAACGAAACTGTCTAAACTGTCTAGGTCAATGTCTAAATTAACAACTTTTTAGCGCTTCGGCTACTTTGAGTACAAAAAAGAAAAGAAAGGAAAACAAAACCGGAAAATTAAGATCTTGCTTCCGTTTCGGTGTGAATTCCAAATACTTTAAATTCCATTTTTAAATTTACTAAGGTTTTTTTTTTTATTTTTGTAAATCTTAAACTCAAGGTATTAAACTCAGATCAACTCAGACAACGATTCTATAACTAGCAAGTTCTCCAAATGTTCAAAAGGTTTTTGAGGGAACATCCAAATCTAAAATAAGTTTTCAGACTCGAATTTAGAAAGGTTTAAAGGTTCGGAGTGTTAGATAACACATAAGCCCAACTTGTTGGTAATTTAAATCAGACGTAACCCTAGCTTGAACTTCAATTTTATTAGCCTTCTAAAGGGTATTCAAATTTGATCATCTTAGGAGAGATCTTCGAACCCGTAAGGAACTAAGTATATTCGTGATCAATAACAACAACCGAGTCGATCCAATCACATCCATCGGTCTGTCAACTTTTAGACTTAACATAGGTTCGCATTTTTATTAAAACAAACCTTTTCGAATTTTCAATATAATTTGATCAATCTTTAAAGATATACCATGCCATGAGAAGTACATCAAATAAATAAATAAATAATGATTAGAATATATAATTAATCTGCAAATTACTGAAATTTAGTTTTTGTAACAATGATAATATCAAATGAGACAAATGGATATAGATAAGTTAAAAAGTATAATACCCCTTGTTGAGTTAAATTAAATAAGTTCAGGCATGGATGTGAGTACTGATACAAAGTTGACATAGCTAATAAAATATGCCTGCAGTCTCATATATGGAAAAGAGTCGTCAGATAAGCTATTTCCAATGAAGTAGTCCTTAAAAGCTTCTCTCTTGCGCCATATAGTGGCAATGATTAAAGTTAAACAAGTTTAAGTATGGATGTAGATAAGTTTTTACCAAGTACTACACATAAAAAGCTAATGAAATATTCCTGCAGGCAAAGGGCCATCAGATATATCAGCTTCATATCAAGTTAAAGTTTCTCTCTTAAGCCAAAAAGTGAACAAATGCAGGCTCTGAAGAGTGTACCCTATGAAGTGTGGCCCCTTTTGAAATTTCAATCCGTCAGTTGGCTCATGAAATTTGTAATTTAAGATGTTGCAATTCATGAGGACGTTAGCAGATTCGTAAATTGTGTAAATTACCCGATTCGATATGCGCGAAAATTGTGCAATGAAGCCAAAAGAAAAATAAATTTTGCATGGCTCAATCATCGATTTCGATTCGGGTTCGACTCTTGGCCCGCTCTCTGTGTGTGTCTCTCCCTACCCCCTTCGAGAAAGTTGTGACAGGAGGAAAGGTAGCGAAATGCGTTGCATTTTAATCGCTAGTCCTAGCCCAAAGGAAGAGCAAAAAAAGAAAAAAGGCTGCTGCTCCTTTCGCAGCCTTTCGCCGTCGCGTCATAAGTGTGTGAAAAATTGATAGACTTGTCATTGCCGGCCGAGTCCAGTGGGGTGGGTTAGACGACAGTCCCGTCAGCCAGACACTCGTCCTCGTCGTCCTCCTGTCCGCCTCTTTGTGTGCCGAGGCACATAAAATTGCATAAATGTCAGACGACTGTCATGACAACCTCTTGTAAACGCCCCATAATTTTTATTATTAATGGCATCAACGCACTATTATCGAACACCCAGCAGCCCATCATATTTTCAACTGACTAACTCAGGTTTTACTTTTTCATTTTCCTTTTCTGTTAAAAGGGTATTGCAATTATCTCGGCTAACTGCTCTAATCTTACGTTTTATTACCTTTTAGAGCGCACATTTGTGCTGAAGCTTACGCAAGGTCTTACTTCTTGCTTCGCTTCACTTTTAGCTTTTTTTTCTTTTTTCATTTTGTCAGTTGTTCAACTAATATTAATTGTAAAACTACTTGCCTAGTTCTGCTGTGTAAGCACATCATCAACTAAAACTTATCTTCGCTTCTCTCTTTCGCTCGCTCTCTCTCTCTCTCTCTCTCTCTCTCTCTCTCTCTGTTGCTTGTTTCTGATGAGATCTTCCAGACTGATTGATTGACTAATTTACTCTTTGACCAACTGACTAAATGGATGACCGACTGACTGAATAATTAACCGACAGAATGATTGACTAACTAAATGACTGATTGACAGACTAACTGACTAGAAGATTGATTGGATTAGTGATAAGCTGACTGACTGAATGATTGAGTGACTTATTGACAGACATTGACTGACTGACAGACTGTATGACGACTTGACTGATTGGGCTGTATGACTGATTTCCTGACTGAATGATAAACTGATTTGACTAGCTCACTTTCCAATACACTAATAGACTGATTGACTGACTGACTGACTGACTCAGTGACTAGCTGACTGACTGACTGACTGCAAACTGACTACAAGATTTACTGACTGACTGATAAACCGATAAGCTGTCCGATTAACGGACTGACTGATTGATTGATTAATTGTCTGAAAACGGATTGTTGTCTGTATTATTCGTTTTGTCATATTTTAGAATTTGGATTATCAATTGCCTTTCTGCAATTTTTCGAACAACTTATGCCAATGTGAAGATCAAGATCCTTCTGAAAATCCTTCTCTTCGCAAAGTTCAGGCATCGCAGATTTACGAATTAATTGGAATTAAGTATAAAATGTTTTTGCCAAAATCCTGGTCTATTTTTAGGAAGTGAATATAAATACAAGCTGAGCAAGCAGTGCACTGCTTGCAGGCGTTTTGTAGTTAAACGAAAAAAACAGTGCCTACTTTTCAGGGCCATGCGTTTAAGGATGTTTCGATTAGAGTCAAGCCAAGGGAAATACAAATTTATTGTTAACGACAATTTGATACTCTCTAAAAAGTTTTATTTTCCAACGTAGAAACCAGGCCAGTAATAAGCTTGAGTTCTGACTGCACAGTATATTAGAATTCAAATTGTAATCCTTATCAGGCACTTGGCCGCCTATTGATTTGGATATTTAATAAAGTGGCTTGAGGCTCTGAAATGTAATAAAGTTTGAAGACGACGAAACTTTATTAAAAACAAACGGAATTAAATTATTTAAACATATTTGTATATGCCATAAAATCCCGGTTCCATGTATGCTTATATTCCGGATCTCTTTAGATTGAAAAGTGCTGGGTCGATACAATTTCGTCAGCGACAGCGCCTACTACAAAATATATTTATATATATGTATCTATACATATATATATATATATATATATATATATATATATATATATATATATATATATATATATATATATATATATATATATATATATATATAACAGTAGGCGCTGACGTTTGATTTGTCTACCAGCCTCACTCTCGCCTCGTATATGCTCATTCTACTTTTATTTCTTATATAGAAACAAACGTATACAGTCACATTTTAAAATTCTGTAATTTATATATATATATATATTTATACTTTTAAAATGGATAACAAACTTTACAAAATCGTCTTAAGACATGTATACAAGATAATATGCGAATACCAAGCCGGACCAAACCATTTTGTTAAAAGGATAAATGTGTACGAGCTTGTAATTCGTAAGATGCGGCGCAATAAACACAATGAAAACCTGAAGAATCTAATTGACTCCAGCCTAACTGAACTTAGGCAGTCTGGAATTGTGGCCTATGTGGAGCCGGACCTCTACGGAATTTACAAGGAAGTTCCGGAAAATTCGGCAATGTTTAGATTCTGTAATTTCATTTATTTTCAATAATGTACCTACAGTCTTTTAACTAGTTTCCATTTCAGAGGCTGGGTCGGGAGCTGTGCGGAAAAAAAACAAGCGGAACTTACAAATTGTATCGAGCAAGCACTTTTCAATCTAAAGAGCTCCGGAGCATATATAACTCTGCAATGTTTAAATAATTTAATTCCGTTTGTTTTTATAATAAAGTTCCGACGTCTTCAAACTCTTTCCATTTCAGGCGCTCAAGCCACTTTATTAAATATCCAAATCAATAGGCGGCCAAGTGCCTGATAAGGATTCAAATTTGAATTCTAATATACAGTGCAGTCAGAACTCAACCTTATTACTGGCCTGGTTTCTACGTTGGAAAATAAAACTTTTTAGAGAGTATCAAATTGTCGTTAACAATAAATTTGTATTTCCCTTGGCTTGACTCTAATCGAAACATCCTTAAACGCATGGCCCTGAAAAGTAGGCACTGTTTTTTTCGTTTAACTACAAAACGCCTGCAAGCAGTGCACTGCTTGCTCAGCTTGTATGTTTTTAACCGTTAAGCAACTCTGTGAAGGATCTTGGCTTGCATCTCGATCGGAGACTTTCATGGAAAAATCATGTTAAGGCAAAACGGCAGCAACTTAAATTAAAGACACAAACGAATGTCCTGGCTGATATGTTAAACATCTCAAGCTAGCTTAGAAAACAAAGCTCTTCATAATAAAGCCATAAGCCATACTGGACATATGCTTGACACAACTTTGGACTACTGCTAGTAACTCCTTTCAGTCAAAAACATTGCGATTCATACAGACACCAAAATAACCTAGCCCTAAATCGAACAGATAATAGTCTAGCAGTAAGAAGACGAAGAAGAGTGCATATTCTCGATCTCGCGAAAAGAAACATTCAATAGGTAGAACCTTAACCTAACATACAAAATAAGTAAAATATCAAAGTAGGCTTCACTGGAAACTTTCTATTCCTGTTATTTTTAATTATAGCTAACTAAATTTACATATTTTCTTGGGAAAGTAAGGAGTTTAGTGGAAATATCTTGGAATACGATTTTTGTTGCCATACAAAAACAGATTTTCGACCGATTCCTCATAATGTAGTGCGATCTGAAGGTTTGGTTCATATATAAAGTTGAATCGATTCGTAGGGACCGTCGAATGAATGAACGGATAGACGGACAGGACTATATCGACTCGGCTATGGATGCTTATTTGAATATACATATATAAGTACTTATGGGGTTGGCCCATCTCCTCTGGCCAGCCCACTTCCATTGCTATCTACTCTAGTCTATCTCTAGCTGCTTGTCTCTTTCTCGCTCTGTTTCATGTTGTCGAGCTCTTCAAGAAATACAAAACGTTTTAGCAAAAAAAAAAGATTGCATTTTTAATATAAGTTTAATTATGATTAGAATCGTTTTTTTGTTTTTTTGGTTTTGTTCTTTGATTTGTCTTTAAACTAGGCCGCTTGCTCTGTCGCTCGCATTCATTTTAGTTCCATACAATCTCGTATTTACAATATTGAGTTAACAAACTTTTAGTTATACAATACACAATACACTCGAGTACAATACATCAATTTGTTAGACTGCGACAGGAACACACACAAAAAATAAAAAAAAAAAAACATATGATTTTTATAATAATAATAGTAATAATAATATCTAATACAAAAGTAGTCAACGCTCGGCAGGCCGAAGTTTTGAATGGACTCCAAACCAGGGCCCGACTTGCGACTATATACAAACGATTTTCAATGCGAATCGGAGAACGCTTTTTAATTGTTATGTTAAATGTAAATATGCAAAGTTTTTCAATAGAATTGGTTACATTTCTGTCGAATGGACCCACGCAGCTTGTTGGACCCCCTAAGCCCCAGTTGGAGTATGTTTACATAGCTTTGGTTACACACATTTTTTTTTCCTTTTTTCATTTTGGTATTTCTAAGTAAAAAAAATATGTGATTTGCATTTGTGTTGGAAAAAGTCATTAGAATAATACATTGATCATAATGTTGGTTGATTTCTTAGCGTGTATGTGCCGTCATATCTTATGGTATTTATCATATATAAAAAAAAAACACTATGTAACATAGTAAATGGGGGGAAAAAAAAATAATACAAGAAAAAAAAATCGAGTTTAACTAGAGAGTTTGCATTTAAAAGTTACAAATACTTTCAGACAATTGCATTGACAGTTCGTGTAAAATAGAAAACAAGAGCTTAAGCTAAAAAATTGTTATAAAAAACAAAAAAAAAAAACATACAAGAGATCAAAGCTTGGTTAAAAATTAAGTGAAATACATGGGCCTTAGCCTTGTGTTAATTTTAGACATATTTGTTTTCTGAAGACCAATTCAAGACAGTTAATTAAACAAAAAATAACTAAAAAAAAAACATGTTACATAGTGCGCTTAGTTGTTTCTTTTTTTTTTTTGTTTGGCTACCTTTTTCTCTTATTTTTGTTTTTGGTATGCGTGTTGTTTAAGGAAAGAAAAGTCTCGATCGTCGACAATTGTCGCGCCATCATAAGTTTGCCATAGAAACCTATATATACCTATATATATATATATATATATAGGGAGAGAGAGAGAGCTATAGATCGCACGCCTATAGCGTCTTCAGCATGGTCGCCTTGCCGGCGCTGCTCTTGTACGTCTCGTAGGAGGCGGCAGCGGCGCCCACGTGCAGCTGCGCATAGCCGGAGCTATTGGCGACGGCTGCAGCAACTGCCTCGGCGCCATTGACCACCGACGGCGATATGGATTTATGTGGCTTATAGCGTTGCAGCATCTCCGCGGAGGTGAGCTTGAAGGTTTCGCACATTTGGGCGCGCACACGTTCCATTAACTGATCGATGTCATCCTTGGTGAGTCCCTCGGTGCTAACCGGCGGCAATGTCGTAATCACAATCCGTCCAGCGTTCAGTATTTTCTTCTTATCATTGAGGAATGTACAATAGGAGCTAAAGACCACCGGCAGTATCGGTATCTGCTGATCGATGGCCATGTGAAAGGCGCCCTTTTTGAACGGATGCAGTTCGCCGGTGTTGCGGCGTGTACCCTCCGGGAATACCCATAGCTTGATGCGCTGCTTCTTAATCCGACGATTGACCGCATTTAGCGTATCCCGCGCCTTCTCGCCGCGCACACGATCAATGAATATGAGCCCAGCCAGCCAGGCGGCCAAGCCGAATGGCCAGGCATAAAACAGCTCCCGTTTGGCCACCACCGTGCACTTGTTCATCACGTGCCAGATGTTGAACATGCCTGGCACAGGGTACAAAAGATTTCGATTAGTTTCCATTGTCTGTTGCGGGTTGCCTTTTGCATATTTACCCAGCACATCCAGTGAACTCTGATGGTTAGCGACAATGATGCAGGCCTGATCCTTCTCCAGATGCTCCTTGCCGCGCAGCTCCCAGCGCAGGCCAATTAATGCCGTGACCCGATGACACCAGGTGCTCGCCCAGCTGCAAGGATTCAGATTGCAATCAATTACGTGTTAGATAGGAAGCCAGCAAGGGCTGTACACTTCTATCTTTCTTTATATGTGTCTGTGTCGTTAAGGGTATTCAATCTTCGTTCTAAATACAGCCTTTCAAGTCCGCCCGATCACAGAGGCTTTCCAATTATGACCGGAACACTTTCAGGATTCCGTGCAGTGACAACAAAGTGGGCGTATAGTCAAGTAAGTAAATCTCTATCTAATATTGAGTTCCCCGTTTTGGTTTCTGGCTGGCCAAAGAACTCGAGAGAAACCAATTCCGTCTAGATGTTAACGATGTTATGCACGACAATCCAACAGGATGCCCACTCCGTCATGGGAGCGGTCCAGGCCCATTAGGCGTTCGAACAAGAGCAGCATCTTTCCGGATGATGGATGTCGGCGACCCCAGTTGTTTGTTGCCTCGTTTGAACGGAAAACGGAACGTCCGCAGATGAGTCTGTTGCTTGGCTGGGAATATGGTCGCGAATGGCTAAAGGAACGCGATGAGTTTCTGCGTCACGATACCTTCAAGTCAAACAAGCGATTCATTGAGCCGGACTATAATTGGTGGCTAAAGAAGCGTCAAATTGTGCTCGATCGCAGGAAGCTCTTTACGCGCAGTCGCCGGGCGGCAGCGAATCAAAAGAAGTGCTATGAAATGACCGCGTTTGACGGGGCCAGGCAGCTGCGGCAGGAGCGCGAGCTACAGCAACAGTATCGCGAACGTGCCACCCATCTAGAAGTCAAATGCGAATGCGCCGATTGCAAGCAGAAGAGATGTCGCCACGCCTTGCCACAGCCAGCCCAAGTTTAAGGAAGAGACTCTGACGCCAGCCATGTAATGCGCTGAGCTTTACTTGGATTGGTTGACACGTGGCAAGGTAAGTGGCAGGTGCATGTCAAATGTTGACGGGCACTTTTTGACACTTTGTCAAAACCGGTTTGGGGAAGGTTTGCTCATGTTTCTGTTAGCCCATTTGGCTGTGTGATGCATTTATGCAATGTTACGGCGTTGCCACCTTGCCGCTAAATGCATGTCCGGCAACACCAAATATTGTCGGGCAGACATAAAAAATCCAAGAAGTTTATCTTCTCGCTTTTTCGAGAGGAAATTAGCAACTAGCCGTTTATTCCGTTGATTATTTGATGGGAACTAACATTACAGCGTTGCCACCTTGCTATTAAATACATGTCTGGCAACACCAATTATTGTCTAACAAGCGGTAGTATTTTTGATATACGTGTTGACATTATTAGCTCGATTGTCCTGATGAAATTTGGTGTTGCCACATAGCAATAATTTAGACATACGGCAATATTGAAACTCATTCAAAGAAAAGAAGTTTTAGTAATAAACAAATTGAAATAAGGTACAAATTAAGTTTATACCTATGTAAAGAAAGGCAACTGCCGCCAGCTTGCCATTGGCCAGCCATAAGCGTTGCCAGACTGTCACAAAATGTAACTTCCTGTCAAATTAGGCACAACCCTTCAACCCTTCAAACAAAGCTTGACAAAAACATGACAAATCGCCGCCTTATATACAAAAAATCCTAGAAAATATCTAATCAAAACTATCCCTCTCAGTTTAGCCCATAAATACCCCATACAGGACATACTACATTTTGGTTTTTTTGGCACACCAACTACAGCAATTCATACGCAACTCTCGAGAAGATCGGCGAGCGCACTACCAAGCTACCAAGGTCGAATTCTGAATGGGTTGTACGACCGCATCGATCAAAATTTTTGCCATCTAACGAGATGTGAGCCTGGCCACAGCCGGCTCCATCCATAGATCGCTTGTGTTGCCAATTCCCAATTAAAATGCAAAGCACGCTTTGCAACAAAAAAATACAAATACAAATAATAATTGTTGTTGTTGTTTTTTTTTTGTTTTCTTTCTCTTAATACCACAATGCAGCTAAGCTGTCAGCCAACTCTGATTGCCATCTATGTGAGGCGAATGCATGCCATATGCATGTGCCGCAGCTTGTGCTCGGATATATGCAAATAGTTGTGCAACCACACTGGGGACAGGGGCGACATGGCAGGCACAGATAGGCGACGCGTCAATACTCTTACTCGAGTACGATAAAGTTAGCTAATTTCGAGCTGCGGTAGTTATATAAGTATATTATAATTATTGCAAAAGTATTGAAAGCAATCAAAACCAACTTTGGATTGAAGCTTTTAATGGAAATGGAAAATAAATAAAAGTCAAGCCCTATCAAGTTCGCTCTACTATATTATATAGCTCTATGGGAAGAATCAGTCGAAAGTTTACGTTTGACGAAATACTCTATTTTCCAAGATATTTAAATCAAACTCAGCAACATTTACAAGCTTCACGTTTCCTAAACCGTACGACAAATCTGTACAAGAGTATTAAATCTTCCTTACTTTCTCGTTTCATGTTTCCGAAATGCCAAGACTGGGTAACCATTCTATTTAACTCTTTACAAATATGAATTGTTTCAAATGTCGAAAGGGCACAAACCACAGGCAGGGAGCTGGTTCAAACTTTCAATATGTAGTACGTGTGCTATATGTATCCGAAACTATCTACGGACAGCGCGTCACACATTGCGTGACATAGTTATGGGACCCGACGGCACAGAATTCGGGCTGAGGCTGACGGCAGGCCCCAATATGTCGTGAAATATTGCATGGCTATATCACAAACAATATATATGTATATGTATATATCTATAGATATTTGGAGTGTCAGCTTGGCAATCGATTGACGCACACCTGCAGCTGCTGCATTCAAAACAATTATAATATGATTAAAATTGTACGAATTGTCATTAAATATGAAGAGCCCGCTCTCTATCTAGCTGACGGAGTGGCCCAAAATATGCACACCCTGGGCAACCCGGGCGACCTCGCCAAATTGCCAGTTGGCGTTGGCGTTGGCGTTGGCGTGCGCCGCAAACAGAGCCCCGCGAGGGGTCGGCACGTGTCAATTGCACCGCTCGCACCGCCCGCCGTGCCGCTGTCGGCGCCAAACATGCGTTGTCCTTCACACAGTCGGAGCCCAAACAAATGTCGGCTCAACAAATAGAATACTTAGCTCCATTGCCCCTGACCATGTCCACGTACACGCCCACGCCCACGCCCATGCCGCTGCCACCCAATGCAGGTGTTCCCAAGCTGCATTTGGCTTTCAAAGTCTCGTAAATATTGATGGTTACTTAGCTAGCCAAACTGAAAGGTCACAGGTCACAGGTGACAGGCGGCACAGCAAATGAGGGAAATCACAAAGGTAATCACGAAGCAGGCCTATTGAGCAGGGCTGTGGAAAGGGTTCGAGCCGCAAATTGGTTCAAACCCGAAATTGTATATGCTTATTTAACATTAGCCGATACTTAAACCCATTAGCCGATACTTAAACCCAAGCGTAAGGCAATCGAATGTTAGCATATTTTGCCAATTCGAACCGCAAACTGGTTCAAACTCTACATTTTCACTTTCTCTTCATCTATTGAATTTGTGTGGAGCGTCAATTTAAATTTAAAAGTTTGCAAAATATATAAAAGCAGGGACTGCAGGCAGCTGGTTCAAATCGTGAATTGAGCCCGATCTGAGAAAATAATTTAGATACCGCAAAGCAAAGCTTATGATTAGGATTAGTTGAACCAAGAACAGTTGAGCCTAGTTTTTATATAGTTATAGTTTTTTCTAGTTAAAAACTTTTTTTTTTCACTCTAAAAAAGAGTTTGAGATCCTTACTCCTCGTTCCTACCCATATTTGAAGGAAAGTAAACCTAAAGATATAGTTTTAAGAAACTAAAACGAAAGAGTTTGGGACCTTAAGACATTATTTCTACCCATATTTGGGGGTAAGTAAGCCCCATGAGTTAGTTTTAAGAACCTAAAAAAGATGTGGCTAAAGTAATTCCCGCAAAGTACAAGCTCATTAAACTCTTCGATCTTTCCGAGAACCGAAATAGTTAACATTAACTAATAATAATTCCTATGAGCTGGATAGTATTATTAAGTCAACAGACTAGGCCTAGCAACAGTTGTGGGGCCCGTAACCCTTGACATCATTAGGTCGTGTGTTATTCGACAAATTATTTAAAAAGAAATAAACAGACGGCTGTCTAATTGTTACAACTTGGCAACTAGTGAGACCCAGGCAAGGTCAAAGATGCCAGGTAAGGCACGTAATCACAGTAAAGATTTATCGAGCTCAAATTTCCGGTATATATATATATATATATATACATATATTTGTGTGAAAGCCAAGCAATCAGTGTGAGTGGACAATGAGGCAAAGTGGTTGCAATTTGAGTAACTGACGATTCCGTTGAACACAAATTGTTATTATAGCCCGATTTCAATTGGCCAACGAGTGTGTCAACAAATCCACAATCTAATAGAGCAATAGACGAAAGTCTATCGATTTCTGAATGCATAATCAACGACTTAATCAACTTCCCACAGCAATTTAGCTGGCCAGAAGTGCTGGAGCAGGAGGTCTAATAAGTTAATCGTATATTCTGCATTCAATTTTAATATACCCTTGTCGAGTGCACCTTCATTTCGCAATGGACTGTGAACTTGGTAGGCGACATCTAGCTGAACTTTCTCGCTGGAAAGAAGTCTCCTGGAGATCGTCTCGTCCAGATCGAAGTGCTATATCATAAGGCTGCCAGGGGAACTAACTGTTCAAAAGTTATTTACTTTAATGAACAACTTATCTAGGCTTCGCATCGAATAATACCATCAATATCGGGCCATTATATCGTATAACTTGCATAGGAACAATCGGCCGGAAGTTAAGTTCTTGTAAGATTCATTTCTTGTTAGAAAAACTCTTTTGTTTTTTGGAAGATTCCAACAATATCGGAACTACCATATCATATATATGCTATAGGAATGATTGGTCGAAAATAAAGTTTCTGTGTGAACAACTTTTTGGCCTATGCAAATATCTATGCCTCTTAATCCTTGATCCTACCAATATGAACTTATATATAGCTCTCATAGAAACAATCGGCCAGAAGTTAAGTTCTTGTAAGTGAATATATCTGAACAAAACTAGGCGTTAATGAGTTTTACTATGATCCCCACATATATGCAAAATCCTATCACTATACCATTATCTATTATATAGAATCCCTAAAACTATATAATATAGCTGCCATAATAACGTCTTTATCAGGGTTCTAGCTACAAAATCCTATCGAAATTGGACGACTATATCATATAGCTACAATCGGAACGATAGGCAACCTTTTTTGTTTTGGGTTCTAACCAAATCTTTGCAACATCGAACTGCTTTAATCATAAAGCTCTCTCTATATGTACAATCGATCGTAAAATATGTCTATTCTTTAAGAGATCTAGAGCAAACTTCCCAATTGCGAACCGCACAATTCTCGCCATATTACTGCATGAACGTTAGTCATAATTCCACAAGGGTATTTCGTCGTCGGTGTGGCCAACATAGTCAATATATTTCATATTTTTTTTGTTGTTTTGATACTCACAGTAAATTGCGCACATCGCAGGGCCGCGTGAGAAACGCCGGTATCAGAATAATCGAGTTAAACGAGACGATTCCATAATAGATTAAAAACTTGAAATAATATCGGAATATGTGATTCGTCTCGTATAGAAAGGGCAGCATCAGCAGCACAAACAATCCAAAAAGTTCCAGATAAGAGCTCATCTTGAGTGTGTATGTGTGTATGTGTGTGTGTGTGTGTATGTAGCCTGTCTGCGATGCTCTCTCTCTCTCTCTCTGCCTCTCTCTGGATCTATCGCACTCTATCCCGTTGATATTTCTGTTTCTAGTCCAGGCTCTCTCTTCTCTCTGCTGCAGTCGACGTCGCCGTCAACGTCTCTGTCTCCGTACGTATTCCGCGGCGAGGCTTAAGGCAGAGCGGTGCAGTCTTTTCTGTTATGATCCTAGCTGCAATGTGGCGAAAGTAAGTTCCGATTATAACGGCAAGCTGAAAACCGTTACCGTTAGAGATGAGCACGTGTCGAATTGTTAGATACCGATATGTTGTGTTATTATACATGCAGAAGTTTTCTCATGCAAAAACCAGAGCTGCAAATACAATATATATATATATATATATATATATATATATATATATATATATATATATATATGTATGTATATAAGGCAGTTTTCTGCCTTCGGGCTGATCTTTGAATTGATCTTTACCCGAAATTTGCATTTACATGATTGGAGCTTATTTTCAATTCATTAAATTTAATCTTAAACTAAATTTTAAGTGTTGTTCAAAATTCTATATTCACGTGTGCAAATCAAAAGGATACTAGGGTATTAAAGCTCTAAGAATAAATTAAGAAATTATAATATGTAGTCTACTATTACTATATACTACTATATGCTGCATTTAATACTTATACTTATTATATAGCACGACACGCGCCCATCTCTAGCCTAATTGCTCTTGCAGCAATATTCCATTCTGATTGTTGTGCCATTTAAATGGACACCACTGTATGTGTGTAACTGTGCAAGTGTGATAATGAGTGGGAGCGAGAGGTGTGCATGCAAATGTACGTGCGACAGAGCGAGCGAGCCGAAGGGAAGGTTTTGCGTGCGCTTTGCGGCGCATTCTTTGCCCTGCTGCATTACCATGATTATTTGGCGAGTGCAACAACAACAACAACAACGCACACAAACACAAAACAACATTAAAAAAAAATCAATTTAAATTGCCGAGCAAAACAAAACAGAGAAGAAGAAGAAAAGTCAAGAGCTCATATTTTATGTGGGCGACATTATTGAGGTTTCTTTTTATGATGAAATAATTCAATATGATATGATTAAATTGCGCGATACACTGATTAACACAGCATATAATAAGTGCGCCTAATTACGGTAATTGCTTAATAAAGCCGAACAACAAATAATAATATATCAATAACTGCATTAGTCTTGGGTTTTACAGTAGTTTTTAATGGAATTGTGCCCGAATCTTTTGGGAATACTTGCAGCTAGGTTAGGGAATTATATATAGATTCTTTTACACCCTATTCTTCCTAATGTCACATAGGGTATTTGAGCACTCACAGTTACAGGTTGAAAATATCGAAATATAAACAAACCTGAGAAGAGAAGAAACTGCAATACTAAGCAAGATCCCCCGCAAGTATGCAGTAAGAAATTTTAGAAGAGAAGAAACAGTAGAAAATGCACAAGTTGATAGTGCATAGAGAGTTAGAGATACCCTGTAGCCAGGCCAATAGACATAAGCTAGCTAAGCCACATTTTAGAGCTGACAAGCAAACAAATATATTTTACGAATATGATTTTTCATTATTTTTAAGCACTGCTAAACTTACTTAATAAAAGCTTAATAGAACTTTTCTGCGCTAGCGCAGCGTTTTAATTAACGAGTGACCACTGTACCTGCCAGACATCAATATACTTCTGTTGTAGGCCCAATTAACAGGTATCAGGGGAGCAATTGGGGCCAAACTTGGTTGATCAAGATGTGCATATGCATACGTATATGATGATGTATGTGTATGTATGTGTGCATATACTCTACAATTCCAGATATGGGCACTGCTGGCTATTGCACACACTTGAACATGCTCTACCCGCTTGTAACAGTTACAGGGTATACGAGTGCAATAACTTTAAAATGATTTAAGTGTGCATCCGGTACTCTCTCTCTCTCTCTCTCTCTTTCGCTCTTTCGCTCTCTCTCTCTCATGTGTACATGGCGAAAGCAGCGGCTGCTGTAAGAATTTATGAGCTTTATTTGTGTGCAAGCCGGCAGGACGTTGACCCACACACACACGCACGCACAAAAACACCAAAAAAAAAAAAAGAAAAAAAAAACACGCACAAAGTAAATTTAAGAAGAAAAAAAACACCTAACTGGCATCTTATGCTGCTCACAATGCATAGACACACACACATACAGCTGCTTGTGTGCATGTGTGTTATGCCTAGGATAACTGTAAGCCGAATATTTTAGCGTCGTTCCGCCAAGCGCGTTTGCAAGCAAAAAGCAACAAGAACAAACACGAAGTGAGGGTTGCAAAGGAGACAAAAATCAGCCGACGCCGCAGCAGCAGCAAAAGACATACACACACACACGCGCACGCACATGTGCGGAAAGAGACGAGGTAAGGATAACAAGCAAAACAAATGAAAAATAAATAGAGTAACACGATAAAAGTGCACAATTTGCAATTAAAATGCTTGTCTGCATTTATTATTGTTATTTTCGTTGCTTTTCTTCTGGCTTTTTCTCTTGTGCGTGCTTTGCTTTTGATTCCTTTTTGTTTTGGCCTCGTTCTTGCTGCAGTCGCTGCGGCAGCTTCTTTGTGCAGCGGCTGTGCTTTGCAGCCGGGACAACACACACACACACACACACACACATAGGCAGGCAGGCCAGCATAATCTCTTCTCACACACACACGCACACTCAAAATTAACTAAAGTAACATTAATATAATACAATTGATGGGCGGGAGACAACAACAATGCGCGCGAGTCGAGCCTGACGACAACACATTCAATTATGTTCAAGCATGCAGCATTTCTTTTCTTTTTCTTCTTAGTCTCTCTGTGCGTCAGTTTTATCTTTTATCGAGCTGTGTTCTTTTTTTTTTTTGTCATTTATGTTGTTTTTACTTATGCTCTAAATAGTGAGGGTTTACGTTTTTCTTTTTTTGTCTTGATGTGACGCCGCTGCGGTTGACAATGTTGGCAGCGACGGCGACGACGACCGGGCGCCGTTAAAACGTAGAGCGCGAAAAATGTTGACAAGAATTTCCGTTACGGACGTGCTTGCTCTGCGGTGACGAGAAAAACAACAACAAATTGCAACAAAATTGATGCTTAGCAGTAATCTGTTAATAACATATTAGCCAATGTTATACTCAAAATGTACTGTTTTCATATGGAATTGACGAATGTTACAAGCTTAACGAATGTCACACTTAACATTTACTCACCCAACGAATTGTAATGTGCTATGGTACAGTATTGTAACGAGCTGACGAACCGGCGGTGTGTGCATTCAGTGCAAGCTTTACTTAAAATACCGAATTATTTAAATCGACACTAAGTTGGTTGTTACACCTGCTTAAGACTTTGGCGCGCAACTTAAATTAAAGATTATCCATGCAACAGTCACAGCATGCGCAATATGCACTAAAAATTAATAAAAATACTATTTGATTTTATTTGTTTGGTATTTTTTACTTTAAAAGATGCTGCAAGGTATGCAGGACACTTGGCAGAACTTTTGCTTGCCCACAAATGTAGCTGTGTTTCCGCCTGAGGGCACTTGGCAACCGGCGAGAAACCCTGATTATGTCCCCACCACCCCGCCCTACCCTTACGAAAAGCTTGGCATGCGGAAAACGTGTCGTCGAGTGAAGCCAAGGGGAAAAAAAAAAACAAAAATATTTTTGTTTACATGGGGCTGCCAAGCAAAATGAAAATGATGACACGCTGATAATCTGGATTGATCTCTGGGACGAAATAAATTCGAAATGACGGACAGCTGCCGTAATCGAAAATAAGCTTACAATCAGCAAGAAACGCTTTTAAATGGCCATTACTTAATATAGTAATTTACATTTAGCTCAAGTCTAGCAGGCAGCGAGATTTTAGACAGTCACATCCTTTAGAAAAGAGAAAGTGTTTCTATTCAAACCATCAATTATACCAAGCAGTATATGTTAATACCTATTTAAATACTAGAAAGATGGTAACACTGTCGGCCATGCTGTCTGATTGAATTCGTTTCGTACGCTACGCATCTCACATGAAGAAACAAACACGGTTTTACTTGTGCAGGCTGAAGTCTGTATACTCTTGCGCGTGAATTAACATAACAGTTACGCACACTACTACAAATGTTGACTTGCAGCTGTAACAAGCAGCGCTCAATAATCATGCGACTCTGTGCCTTTGTGTGCTTTTACAGTGCGCTCTTACTCTCGCTTACTCTCTCAGTCACGCTCAGCAATTCTGTAAGCGATCGCCAGTTGCTATGCCTACTCGCGGTGCGTCACTGTGTGCGTGTGTGAGTGCTTTTGCTTGTGTGTGTCCGTGTAATTTGAGATAAGCAATGAGTGCAAAGCAGGCACATAAAGTCGCTGGCAGCGCGTCTGTTGGCGCACAGTTGGCCTGGAGCTCGACTTCGACGCAGACTGTAAACGACTGTAGTGTAAATAATATAAAAGAATAACAAGCACAAAGCATAACGCGCAACACGTGAGCGAATTGAAATTCAAATAGAAGCTTCAACGAGCAGAATGCCAGCCACAACAACAACAACAACATCAAGTAAGTGCACACCGCAAACCCCAACCCCTGTGGCAATTACTCAACCGACCACCCGCCCGCCCACCACAGTTGATGGCTACAAGCTGGGCAAGGTGCTCATCGAGGGCAAAACGAAACAGGTCTACAATCTGCCCGAACATCCTGGCCTCTGCCTGCTGCTCAGCAAGGATCGCATCACAGCCGGCGATGGCGTCAAGGCGCACGACTTGGCCGGCAAGGCGGAGATTTCCAATACGACCAATGGCCAGGTATTTCGCCTGCTCAACGAGGCCGGTAAGTCTGTTATACATACATACATACATATATTTGCCTCAGACTGACTCTCCCTCTCTCCCTCTCTCTCTCTCTCTCTCTCTCTCTCTCTCTCTCTCTCTCTCTCTCTCTGTAGGTGTGCGCACCGCCTATGTAAAGCAGTGTGGGGCGAAGGCTTTCATTGCCCGCGAATGCCAAATGATACCAATTGAGTGGGTAACCCGACGTCTGGCAACCGGCTCCTTTCTCAAGCGCAATGTGGGCGTGCCCGAGGGCTACAGGTCAGTAACATCCGTTAGGTTATCTACCTTGCATTTTGCATGCGACGGCGACGGCGACGGCGACTGCGCCTTATCAATTGCAACCAACGTCAGTGACCCCTAGAGCGCCTTCACCACCCCCCTACTTCTCTGCCCTGCCCACCGCCCCCTGCTGGCTGCTGCGGTAAACAAATTGAGATACTATTGATGCACTGCATCGAGGTCGTCCCCGCCTGCCCCCGCTGCCCTGATAAGCCGCGCATTGGCTGGTTAAAATAATACTCACAATTATAGACGATCTTTTGATACCCTTGTAGAGGTTATTATCAATTGCAGACAGCATCAGTATCGCTTTATTATCCCTGTTTTTATACTTCCTTCCTTCATTCAGATGTTTTAATATCCTTAAAAATGGATAAGAAGGGTATACTGTTTCTGTGCAAATGCATGTAACAGGCTCAAGAAAGCAGTATATGTCGTATATATATTTTTGATCAGGATAACGAATCTGTTTCTGTACAAACGAACTCGAGAACTTCAAAGGCTAGACTCGAAATTTTAGGCATATATATTTTAAGGTATACACAGATTGGCTTTGTCATTTAATATATATATAATTATTTTTTTTTGTTAAAGAACATGTCTGAAAATCGATTATTAACGATACTAAAAAAAAATATATAATATATATATCGATAATATATCGATAATAATCGATTCTCAGACATATTTTCATAAACAATTTTAAGAGCTGGATGGACTCAGCTAGTTATAGGCATATGGTATACACAGTGTATATAGTCAGATATAATATATACCTTATACAGATTGTTAAGTCTCCTATGGTATATACGAATTACAAATGCTCTAGTTTTAAGGGCCTTCTACCCCTCCCACAAATAGCAAAAGGTTAAGTAGTCAAGCCCTGAAAATTGCCTAATGATCAGATTACAAATACCGATCGATTTATCAACTCGATAACTATGTAATCTGGCTAAGACTTATATCGATAACTGTTTCAGTTTATCAGCCGCTAATAATCGATAATGATCCTCAACCATTGCAGATTCTCGCCGCCCAAGCAGGAGACATTCTTCAAGGATGACGCCAATCACGATCCACAGTGGAGCGAGGAGCAGATCATTTCGGCCAAGTTCGAGCTAAACGGTCTGGTGATCGGTAAGTGTAGATTTGCAGCACCAATTCGAATGGGAACCAACTAAAAAAGCGACCACTTTGCAGGTCAGGATGAGGTGGACATCATGCGACGCACAACCCTGCTCGTCTTTGAGATTCTCGAGCGGGCGTGGCAGACAAAGAACTGTGCCCTGATCGACATGAAGGTCGAATTTGGCGTCGACTCCGGTGGCAATATTGTGCTCGCCGATATCATAGACTCGGACTCGTGGCGCCTCTGGCCGGCCGGCGACAAGCGTCTGATGGTCGACAAGCAGGTCTATCGGAATTTGACATCGGTGACGAGCACCGATCTGGATACGGTTAAGCGCAACTTTATCTGGGTATCGGAGCAGCTGGCCGATATTGTGCCGCGCAAGGATCACTTGATTGTGGTGCTCATGGGCAGCGCATCGGATACATCGCACAGCGAAAAGATCGCCACCAGCTGCCGTTCGCTGGGCCTCAATGTTGAGCTGCGCGTCAGCTCGGCCCACAAGGGTCCGGAGGAGACGTTGCGCATTGTCCGTGAATATGAATCGGTTATGCAGAATTTAATCTTTGTGGCCGTTGCCGGACGTTCGAATGGCCTCGGACCGGTTGTATCCGGCAACACAAACTATCCGGTAATCAACTGCCCGCCGGTCAAGTCCGATAACATGCAGGTGGACGTCTGGTCCAGCCTCAATTTGCCATCGGGCCTGGGCTGTGCCACCGTTCTCTATCCGGAGGCGGCCGCACTGCATGCGGCCACCATTTTGGGACTGAGCAACTTCATGATCTGGTCCAAGCTGCGCGTCAAGCAGCTCAACAATTTCGTGACCCTCAAGAAGGCCGACAAGGAGCTGCGCGGCGTGCGCAATGTCTGAGCAGCAACATTTTGCCATTAACTCTATTTACATTTGTTTTTTTTACATATATTTTTTTTCTCTAAACATTTCTATTTTGTTCCCCCCTCTCATCTATGCTCTGTTCTTCTAAACAATCATGTTTTAGTTTAGTTCGCACAAATACAGTTTTATGTGACAATAATTGTAGCGCCTTCTTTTTTGAATTGTTTAACGGTCGAGCGCCGGGTTTGTGTCTCGGCTAGTGTGCCATTTTCGTAGCATGCTTTTGGGCTGCGCTCAAATTAATTTGAAAAATGCACATTCACATATTTCGAAAAACGGTTTTTTAAATTTGTGTGAGGAAGTTGTCCCCGATCACTTCAGGTATATGAATATATACATAATATAGTATCTTGAATATATATATATATATATATATTTATATATATATACAACATATTCATGTCCTTTTGCCTGTTGTTAAGCCAAAAAGTCGCACAGTTTTAAAGCTTTTACCTTAAAGCTCTGCCTTGCTCCGAGCTTTTGTTGCAGGAATGTTCCATCTATTAAAAAGCTCTTTCGGCTATAGAGATATATGATATCTAAAGAAAGAATCGCTTAGAAAATGGATTTTCGCGTGGAAAACTTTCCCGTTTTCAAAGAGAACTAGACCAAGCTCCACAATTACCACATATATATATATATATATATATATATATATACTGTATATATACCATATTCCCACAATGGAAACAATCGTTTCTATAAAAGCACTTCCAAGTGCCAAGTTAACAAGGATTTCAAAATCTTCGAGTCTGGTTTTTTTTATATTAAACGATTTTTCGACTTCTGAACTTTGAAATGTGAACTAGTTCTTATGACAAACTCTTCAACAAGTTAAGCATCGCATGTTCAAGTATTTCCAAATATGCAACAATAGGTCAAATCCTTTATTACATTTAGCTAATGTTTAAGCTAACAAGTTTTAGAGATACGACTTTATGGTATTCTATACCTGGCCCTGTAACCCATTGGGAATTATTAAAGTTCCTGAACAAGTATTTTGCACGAAAAGTTCTTTAACAAAAAGCTCTTCTTTTCGCTTTATGAAACTTATCCTGACTATATGCTGCCTTTCATACACTCTATTTAGATTATATCAAAGCGTTAAGCCTCTTGCACGCAGACTGCAGCAAAAGCCGTAAAGTAACTTCCAAGAACATAACCTCACTAATTATATATATTTTTGTAATGCCGTTATAATCCCTCTTCACAAATGCGATGAGAATACTCATGCAAATGGGCTGCTCTTCAGATTTTCTAATTGCAATCTAGTTAAC